TTATTTCTCGTGCAAAACAAAATACAAGAATAATTATATCACATCAAATATGCAATGAAACGATAAATATTATTTTATTTTGTTATTATAAAATAATAAACTTGTTTTAATTTGTGTATTTAGTCATCTCATCATGCTGGGCCCTAGATGCAAATACACTGCAGTTTGGATACCGGTAGTTAATTAAGGCAATTTCAATAGCATTGTCCATCACCTACTAGTATTGAAATGTGCAAACATGACAATCAATAAGGTATTGCGTAATCCAAACATGATTTCTATACAATCATGTAGGCAATACATTAGGGTTTTCAAAATATACCCAGAGTTCAATTTTTGAAAGCAGTTGTAATTCTTTTGAAGGCGCTACATGCAATGATAACTTTTAACCATTTCTGGTTTTGTGTGATGCCTTTGGAACCTGAAGGCCTGATTGAGAACCCGACTACTACATGTGAGCCGGACTGTCCCGATCCATCTGGGCCTAATTCTGCTGGTGAGCGTCAATCTTGTAGCCTTGAATCTGTGATCATTACTTTGTAACGTTAGCCTTCATGTTGTGAAAATTCTTCAAAAAAATGTTGTTTCATTCACTGTCATTCATCGTTTATTTGTACATCTGGTGCTGGTTTCATGTACGTGAAATACAAGTTACTCTCACATAAGGGTTAAAGATAAGGACCAGTTATGGTCATGCGATTGCATTGTGAAAGAAACGTTGTGGAATCGATTAGAAAAGGGTGATCATCTAGCATATAAGTATTGGTGTGTACTGCAAGGTTCTGGAATCATCAAAATGATAAGAAATTTGGCCCAGTCTTCGTAAAGTTACAAGCACTGTACACAGAAAGACGTTTATGGGACTACGCACACATGCGTTTATCTCTCACACACCAATAGATAAACTAATTTACCAAATATATCAATTAGTAGGTGGTTTCCCGGCAAAATTGTTGTTATGTATTAGTCAAAACATACTCTTTCACATGATTGGTAATAAGAGCTTCCATTTCATTTTTTGAAATTAGGGCGTTTCCAATACTGGTCTTTACCTTTAAAGCAATCGCATGCATGCTTCATCCACACAATAGCTAGAAGAGCAACTATGAAAAAACAAATCTCCACAGCACGTGACTTTTGCACATTTTGTGAAGAGTACGTGTAGTGCTCTAAAACCAGAATCTCTGGGACATGAAACTTTTGTGAATTATTAACCCTGATGGATAAACTGTAAACATTTACAGTTTGGTCAGTGTGAGTTGTGATATTCCTCATTTCATGTAATGAATGTTTCACTAATTTGAGCCACTCACAAAAGCCCTGCAAGTTTCTGCATGGTTTTACAGTCGTCAGATTTTAAAAATTTGAAATGAAATAAAACTGACATAAAACTGCCTGAGCTACTGGCACTTTCCTTCTTCTTATTAACAAGAATTTCATTTAAATATATACCTGTGATGGGATCTCTTTAGTTTGCTTTTTACATCACTCCTTTTCTTGCGTTATTTCTCTGCTTTGGATTTAAACTCTCATTGGTTCATTGTCGATGTGCCTACTCTATGCATCTCAAATTGCATTCAATCAATTATTAATTTAACAAGAATAATTTCATCGCCTCTACACTCACAATATACAAAGCAAGATATGTTTTACATGATATTTTATGCAATTACTTTATGATGCCTCGTGATCTGTATTTTAGAGTGTTGAAAAGAACATGGACATAGGAACAGACAGATTGATATATTTTTTAACAGTTTAATTAAGTCATCATTGATAGGATGAAAACACAAATACCCACCTCCCCCAAATAAATCATTTCCCTGAAAATGCAGGGAAATGATTTCTAAGACCCCGTTCTCACTCACTTTGAAAGTGGTCTTAGTTAGACCGCTCCAGACCGCTCCAGAGGAACGGGTCTTGAGGAACGGTTTGCGAGCGTTCACACTCCGAGCAGTTTTTATGGCTCAAACCGCTCCACGAGTCAAAGTGGTCTTGTTGCTATGGCAGCTCAGGTAGGCGGGCCAATTTTTCGCGCGTGGAATCCAAACCGTATGTACCGTACTACATGTTTCGCACCGAAGGTCACTAGCTCACTTCCGTTCAAAGTACGCTTTCCGTTCACATTGCACGTTAGAGCGCTCTGGAGCGCTCTTAATAAGACCCGCTCCTCAAGACCACCTCGGAAGGTGGACTTCTGGAGCGGTCCAGAAGTCCGCTTCCTGGACCACTTTGAGCGTTCTCACTCACCTAAGAACCGCTCCTGAGGAGCGGGTCTTAGTTAGAGCGCTCCAGAGCGCTCCAACGAAGTGAGTGAGAACGGGGTCTTATAGGATAATTCCTTACAGGTTTCACAAGTCAACATATCTCATTTTATTAGCTCACTTGGATGGAAGGTGCAAGTGAGCTATGTTGAGCGCTTTTTGCCCGCGTCCATAAACTTTTTACATTTTTTACTTCTTCTCTGGATTTTAACCAAACTTGGTAGGGATCGTCCTGAGGCAAGAGAGATCTAAGGTTGTTCAAATGGGGTATGTACCTCCAAGGGGGGCCTGGGGCAGCACCCACAAAGTTTTTGAGTGGCAGTAATTGGAAATTTTCTTTTTATACTTGAAAGTCCATGGATATATAGATTCTAACCAAAATTTGTAAGAATCACGTGCAGGAAAAGGATATCTTAAGATGTTTAAATGGGTTATACGCCCCATAGGGGGCTTGGGGCATCATCCCCCAAAGTGCCCCTATGTCAATAATTAGACATTTAAAAAACTTTGTCTTTAAAATTCATATATAGATTTTGACTTAACTTGATAGGATGCATTCATCAGACAGGGGGTATGAAATTGTTTTGAAGGGCTTCTGACCTTTCCAGGGTCAGTAGGATTGTAGCCTTTATAAGAATCATTTTTTGAAGAATTTAGACCCAAATTTGTTTGAATGGGATACATGCCTCTACAGGGAACTTTGGAGCAGCACCCCAACATTGCCCTACTGTTCCAATATTCCTATGTTCCTGGTGTAAAGGGGAAGGGGGCTAGGTCCCGAGGCCCCTACTTTCATCGGCTCAGGTGAGCGTTAGGTCCGTAGACCTCTTGTACATATCGTCCCTATTTTCACGAAGTGACGGTAGTGAATGATAATCCCATACGATTTGCGTGCGGATTTTCCTCACTATCGTCACTTCGTGAAAACAGGAACGATATATGCCATTTGAAGAAAAAAAGCAAATGAATTACAGTATACTGGATTAGGTTAAATGATCAGTTTAAGACAACTTTGTATTTTTGACTGTGCAGAATTATGAAATTTTCCACAAAGTATTGATTGATGCTTGTTTATTTCATGTCAATATGAGCAATTCATTCATAATTCATATCATGTAATATGTTATATATTTATGTTATGTTCTGAAATACATTTTGCAAATGAGAAGTATTCCTAAATTTTCTTCTTACTCAAGTCTCTTTAATGATCTGTATTCTCTTCCCTTATCTTAGATTATGTTCAAATACTTTGCAGTCATATTCTTTTTTCGTTAATTCCTTTTCTGATAGCTTCGGTAGTTGTGCCACAGAAGTAGTTTTCACATTCAACATAGTGTCTTAAAAAAAATTAATAGCTGATATCAAAATATGTGTTTGCAAATATTCTGCATTTGATGTGTGTCACTTTCTAGTAATAACTTTCTTCTCTGCTTCTTAAGTAAAAGGTTGAGTGAGTAAAATAATGTGTCCAATGCCTTTACTAAATGTTCTTGATATTAATCACTGCATCTAACACAGCTATCTCATTGCTTATGGGAACTGCATGATCCCTGTGTTATAAAGCTTATAGGGAATAAAAGAAGTAGGTATTCATTAGGTTATTACAGGCTTAGTATCTTGCACTTGCACCACACATGTTATTTAGGTACATGTAGGGACCCTGTATTTCATTTTATCCATATTTTCAGAATCGAAAGGTTTGTATAATTTTATTTCTGTAATATTTGTGTTTTATTCTGAGATTCTGGACAGATAGTGGTACAATATATTTTGGAGTTTGAATTGCTTTTTTGCAAAGTATTACTTTATATTTCATAAATTTGTTTTATTTCTCAGTCATTTGTTAATTTGTTATTTCGCATTTTTTCTTGATTAGTTACTGTATCTGTTGCTAATTTTGTGTACTTTGTCAATCTCAATCTTCTGTATTGTGTGTCTTTGTTGGCTATTTACCGTGAGTCAATACAAATTACACACTTTTATATTTGCCTATAGGTTTCAAGTTGGAGCTGCAACTATGAAATGATTTGACCTATGAATATAGTAAATTCACTCCTTCAGCGTCTTATGGTACCATTCTTGTCAGGCAACTCTTTATGGCTGATTTAATTGTACTCAAGAAGAACCATGATTCATAAATTTGAATACTTTTATGAACTGGTTGATTGGGTGAATCGACATTTCCTCCTGCTACAATTGCTCAGGGCTTTATTTTGTCAAAAATATAGGATTATAGGGTTGGGGGTGCAATTTAGTTTTAGGTAAGGTGTAAGAATATGTTTGAGATTAGGTGTAGGAATACGATTAAGGTTAGGTGTAGGGATATGATTAAGGTTGAGGTTAGGTGCAGGGATGTGATTAAGGTTTTAGGTTAGGTGTAGGAAAATGATTAAGGTTTAAGGGATATGATTAAGGTCTGAGGGTACGTGCAGGTATATGATTATGGTTTTAGGTTAGGTGTAGGGATATGATTAAGGTTTTAGATTAGGTGTAGGGATATGATTAAGGTTTGAGGTTAGATGTAGGAATACGATTAAGGTTTAAGGTTAGGTGTAGGGATATGGTTAAGGTTTTAGGTTTGGTGTAGGGATATGATTAAGGTTTTAGGGTGGATGTAGGGATATGATTAAGGTTTTAGGTTCGGTGTAGGGATATGATTAAGGTTTGAGGTTGGGTGTAGAGATATGATTAAGGTTTTAGGTTAGGTCTAGGGATATGGTTATGGTTATGGTTTTAGGTTAGGTCTAGGGATATGATTAAGGTTTGAGGTTAGATGTAGGAATGTGATTAAGGTTTGAGGTTAGGTGTAGGGATATGATTAAGGTTTTAGGTTCGGTGTAGGGATATGATTAAGGTTTGAGGTTGGGTGTAGGGATATGATTAAGGTTTTAGGTTAGGTCTAGGGATATGGTTATGGTTTTAGGTTAGGTGTAGGGATATGATTGAGGTTAGGTGTAGGGATATGATTAAGGTTTAAGGTTAGGTATAGGGATATGATTGAGGTTAGGTGTAGGGATATGATTAAGGTTTAACGTTAGGTGTAGAGATGTGCTTGAGGTTTGAGGTTAGATGTAGGGATATGATTAAGGTTTAAGGTTAGGTGCAGGGATATGATTGAGGTTAGGTGTAGGGATATGATTAAGGTTTGAGGTTAGGTGCAGGGATATGATTAAGGTTTTAGGTTTGGTGTAGGGATATGTTTAAGGTTTTAGGTTAGGTGTAGGGATATGATTAAGGTTTGAGGTTAGGTGTAGGGATATGATTAAGGTTTAAGGTTAGGTATAGGGATATGATTAAGGTTTGAGGTTAGGTGTAGGGATATGATTAAGGTTTAAGTTTAGGTATAGGGATATGATTGAGGTTAGGTGTAGGGATATGGTTAAGGTTTGAGGTTAGGTGTAAGGATATGATTAAGGTTTAAGTTTAGGTATAGGGATATGATTGAGGTTAGGTGTAGGGATATGGTTAAGGTTTAAGTTTAGGTATAGGGATATGATCGAGGTTAGGTGTAGGGATATGGTTAAGGTTTAAGTTTAGGTATAGGGATATGATTGAGGTTAGGTGTAGGGATATGATTAAGGTTTAAGTTTAGGTATAGGGATATGATTGAGGTTAGGTGTAGGGATATGGTTAAGGTTTAAGTTTAGGTATAGGGATATGATTGAAGTTAGGTGTAGGGATATGGTTAAGGTTTAAGTTTAGGTATAGGGATATGATTGAGGTTAGGTGTAGGGATATGATTAAGGTTTAAGTTTACCTATAGGGATATGATTGAGGTTAGGTGTAGGGATATGGTTAAGGTTTTAGGTTAGGTGTAGGGATATGATTAAGGTTTTAGGTAAGCTGTAGGGTCAAGGGTTGAATTTAGGAATCAGGTTAGTTAATGAATTTACTGCCGAGCAATTGTCACAGGAGCAAGTGGCATACTATCAGTTGATGTAAAGACACAATTTAAACTGATGTAATATTGTAGCCCAACCTTGACTGTTATTAACTCTCTTTTTATCTCCATGATTGAAACAGGTCTGATTGCTGGTTGTGTATGTGGAGCTATCATCCTCCTTGTCCTCCTTGCTATTTTGATCTGGTGGCTGTGGAAGAAAGGCAAATGTTGTTTCGTGCCAGTAGGTGAAGGAAGGTAACTATCACATTCACCTTTATGTAACTATATGTTTGGCAAATATAGATTAATGTCTACATTATACGTGACATGAAACTCTTAATGTTTCAAGAAATTCTTCCTGTATAGGATCCATTTATTTCACCATTGTTGGGTGTGGCAATTCTTGCTATTGCCAAATGCTATGCTAAATTTTCGGCCCGATTTAAAAATGTTAACCCCCCCCCCCCCCCCCCTTGAATCCTGCGTACGCTACTGACAAGAGCAGACTGGTTAATGTCATCCTGTATAACTAGGTAGCCATTGAGAAGAGATAGATTTATCTTCTAATATCAAACACCTTTCTGGCTCCTAAGAGATGATATCGTCGGCCGGGTGGCAGAAGGGCGTTAGCGCGCGAGCGACTCGAAAAACTACTTTTCGAATTATTCACATTTAAAGATTTGTTTTATACTTAAACTGCTTTCCATCCCGAAAATTGGTTTAAAACATTAAAGACTAATAGAAATGTTGTAGTAGAACACGGTCACAGTTTTTTCTCGGAAAATAAGTCAGTTTTATAAAAGTTTGAGGCGATTTAGTGCTAACGCCCTTTTGCCTAAAGTTTCATTATTGACCTGAAATTTGAGCTAACGCCCTTCTGCCAGCCAGGCGACCATATGTCCATGAACATGTATGGTACAGTACCTTTGAAATGCCAAACAGACTGGTAAATGCACTTCATCCTAGTCTTCTAGTTATTTTTCTAATTACAAAGTTTTGATCAGTTCAGTGTTTATCGATCTTTCTCAATCTGTTGTTACATGTTTTCACCTTTCGAACTTCATTCATAATCTTTACCGTACATTGAGCACGTAGTTTTTGTTTTGAAGTTAATATTTCTGATTATTTCACATCTAGTAAACATATAATGTTATCAGTGAATTTTTTTATGAATCTATGTTATCTTTGTTGTATTTGCAGTCATTTTCATTTAACTTTCATGATATTCTTCTTCCTTTTCATATGTTTCATACAAATCTTTTCTATTCTGACATGCTACTGTTAGTTAATCTTTTACTAACCTTATGTCAATTTTTAAAATTGTTGTTATGCCTTTTATTGGCAGAGGTCAACTTATGAAATTCCAGTTATTGGCCTTGTTATCGGGATATCTCATGAACCACTAGAGATATGAGGCTTAAACTTTGTGATAGTATATCACCGTAGAAAGATGATCTGTTCAGAATTGGGGTTCAAAGTTCAAAGGTCAATTTCTGAAATTACAGGTATTAGCCTTGCTTTTGCGATATCTCGAGAACCACAAGAGATGGGCTTTTTGTTTTCATCGTGATGTCACAAATAGGACGGAGGAGTATTGGAGATGCAGTCGAATTTGTTTTGTTATGTTTTGTTTTTATATATATATATATACACTTCTTAAGATAAATGGGGAGTATTTTGGGAGATGTATCATGGATAACTGACAATCTGTAAATAAACAGAAATTTAATAGAACGTGTCTCCAGAAGATATCACTCATTAAATCTTTAAATATTTCAAAATTAATTCCTTTACAAGCATAATGTTTGAAATAGCAAATATAATTATAATAATTCAGATATAATGCCACATCACTATCACAGGCAAGTTCTGCACCAGGAAGAGAGATTATCAATTTCTGTTTGCTCCCTTTTTTGTATTAATAGTGAAGCTGCTTTGCGTGATAATGAAGAGAAACAGGTGGAACTTCTGAAAATTGAGAAAAAAGGAACGGTCATACTCGCCCCCATAGAGGCACCACCTGCCTGGCCTGAGCAAGATGGCATCCTGTCAACTTCACCTAATCCAAATACTGACAAAACCCCTGGTAAAAGCCCAATCTTTTGGCTTATTTAATTTTCTTTCTTTACACTTCATTTATTAGAAGTAATTATACACATTTTCTATCAGTAATGATTAAACTTTCAGTGTTTTCATTGTTTTGATTTGTTTTTGCTACTGCTGTATTTTATTAACAAGTTTGTGCACAAGGTTATGTCTCTATTTCAATTCTTTAACTTGTTTCTGATGTGTTTTAACTTGACTGAATAGCAAGTATTCTACTAAAATTTGAATATAATGCTGTATATACAAAGGAAATTAGACCAATTAAGTTCCCCTTTGTTCAACATAAATTTAATCCCAGTGTTGAACTTATGTAGAAAATTCCAGCCATTGAATGTATCTCTAACCATTTTTTCCATCAAATTACTCATGGATGTTTTTGTCCTTAAACTCATAGCCTGCCATGAGGGTGCATGCACACTATTGTTATAGTGCTTTGTACATGCGAGCAAGCTATTGCTACGCTGCCATGTGCATGCATGCGTGCACACTTTCGTAGTAGCAGTTAATGTTCATGCTCATTGGACTGTGCTATGTGTTTTGCAGTCGCTATTCATAGAACTACACTGTATCGCGTTAATCAGATTATCTCAATATAAACTTGGCACTCCGTGATTTGGGGCTTGGCACAATGGGGATTAGCCCTGTGGCATGATAAGAGTTAAACACTATTTCAAATGATTACTAAGATAGAAGAAGAAATTTATTATTTTATGTTTTCTTAGAAGATCTTGTGAGAATATCAGGATTATTGTAGAATATGACATCACCAACAGTATGTGTAGTAAATCCCTCCCCATGCTTTTTTTTCTCATCACATTCCCTCTTCTTTTGCTCCATTTTCTTTCCCCCATTTTCTTTCCTCTCTTGTCAATCTCCCCCCCCCCCCCTCCTCCCATCACAGGGGAGCTGTCCAAGGAAGAGGAGGCATTGCCCTCACCGACCACAGGGGGCAAACCGGACGGCGCTACATCCAAGAAAAAGAAGAAGAAGAAGAAAGGGAGCAGATCGAACAGGGTCAGTCCTGAACCCGACCAGATTCCTTCACCGTCGACAGGAGGAAATGATGGATAAGCATTTGCAAATGCTCTCGTGCTTTCGTGACACATTCTGGCTGTGTATTTTGTTTCCTCCAGAACAGTCCATCGTCAGCAGTACTTTGTGATGCTGCTAGCTAGCACGGACTCTATTTTTGACACTCTCACGAAAGTTCTTGTGACTTTGGGCAAGTGAGGATAAGCAGTGTCAGGTACACTGTATCGCCTCAGACTCAATCAAAGCCATATTACATGTAGACCGAAAGCTTCAGTCTCTGATATCGACGGTAATGTTCCGCTGAGATTGCATCTGGCTCCTCTGACCGCCTCTGTGTATGGGGAATGTCAACAAATGTCAGTTTTAATAAAGAAATGACCCATATGAGACGTTATTTCTGTCTATATTACATGTAGTTTGCAGCACAGAAAACTTCTTTTGTGCACTTGAACTGCAGCAGATGTAGAGAAAAGGACAAGATGTGCAACGGTTGCATCGGATATCTCCCTCTTTCCCTCCCCCATTGATGGTCTAGGAGGTGGGAAATAGAGATTTACGTGTACTGCAGAGAAGAGTGTCCAGGGGGGAAAAACAACTTACAAAATTTCGGGGGCTACTTTTCAAGCTTGCTTGCATGAAAATAACACTCTTTAATTTGTTTTGCATTGAACTCTATGCAAATTTTTTTTGGGCTCTTTTATGACTTTCGGGGCTCTTTTGGGCATTTTGGGGGCTAATTTGCCCCGAGCCCCCATGTTTTTTTCTTCCCTGAGAGTGTCTCAGGACAGTATTGTTCTATAGTTTACCGTCCAATGATCAAAGAAATGTCATGCTATCCCCATAAAGCCTGAACAATGTCTGCCATGTACTGCCGCGATGTGGCCCTTGATCATCACAGCCGATTTATGATAATTGTGCAAAGATGCTTCCAGCAAGTTTCAAGAGGAGATACTGTCCTTTGGACCCTACAACGTACCTTCAATGGGCAATGGAATGTTCCTACATAGTAATGACACATGTCTGCCTCAGCATATTGAAAATCTTGTTCAAGGATACTGCCACACATCATGAATGATTATTCTGTTTTATTTACTAATGTAAAGCGCTTTGAGCATGTTTATGTAAAGGCGTTATATAAATATCAATTGCATCGGCAATACTCTCCTTTGAACCTGTAACAACCTCAAGTGGAACATCCGTCAGCAGTGGTCAATGGAATTTCACCACTATCCCTTTATATCTTTAAAGGACAAGTGCACTCCATAAAAAACTTACTTTCAATAGAAGCAGAAAAATCAGACAAACCAATCAAAAAAAAATTGAGCGAAATCGGATATCCAATAAGAAAGTTATGATTTTTAGAAAAAGTATGTAAAACTATGGAACAATGAAAAGCACAAGACAAATTGGGAACTCGCTCATCAGTCTGTGACGTCATGTCCTCACTATCCACTAATTATTTTCTTTATATTGGTAACATAAATTTTGCTATTTCCCCCCTAGGAATCTTATTTCTTCACACCAGCATCCAAGTTAGAATGATAGTAATATGTCATTGTGTAGATGCACTAATATGAAATAATTTTTGTTGAGTTAAATCATGAAAAATGTGAATTTTGATAAACTATTTATGAATAGTATGTTGAATATTAATTTAAATTATTTGTATGCGCCTTGAGCATCTCTAGAGATGGATATGTTGCGCTTTATAAATATTGTTATTATTATTATATAAAAGTCAATAATTATGAATTTACAATATTAAGAAAATGGTATCAATTCTTCAAATTTCATAAAAGATTTTGTGAAATGTCATGCACGCAATATCATACAAATCATATAAATTGAGCAAAGGTATGGGGGAATCAAGTTTTGGGGGATAAAAAGGGAAATTAATGGGATTAAACTATTTAAAGCAATCAATAAATAGTGAGGACATGGCGTCACAAACTGATAATCAAATTGGCAATTTGTGTAGTGATTTTCATTGTT